GGTCAAAAAATAAGGTTTGGTGTTGAAATTAACTACATACTGTATACACCCAGTTGTGGATGAATATAAACATAAAATATACTAGGTGGGTAATTCCATGTAAAATAGGACATGAACATAAAAAGTTCAAAATGATTTTGGAAAATAAATTTTATATTATGCGAAAAGTAAAAGTCCTGAAAATTTATAATGAAAGTGCGTAACATCAGTTTCGGTAGTGTTATAAGCCTATAGTAATATATCACACACTACTTATACTGTAAAAATTATATTAACTTATTTTCAACTTTACCAATCTGGGTTTTATGTTTATGATATTTGCACTATCAGTTGGGGAACATCCTACTCTACTGATAAATAGTTACAAATTTCATTCTTTTTTAAATGTTAAAGTTTAGAAATTGAAATTCATATCCTCCAATGTAATGTCATTTACCAAAACTGATAGGCTGATGGTAATTATTCATTCATTTCTCTTTATTTCTGACTTTACATCCAGAGTTAAACATCATCAACTTAACTGTTTACAATATGGGAAAATAAATCCCACAGGATCCATTGAATTTATGGATTGACAAAAAGAAGTTCGTTCCATCTTTTTGAAAGCCTGGAACTTTAAAAAATTCCATTTCCAGAAAGAACTAATAGGTTTACACAGAAAATCGTTAAATTTAAAAACTAAAAATTGATTTTCACATAAATTCGTGGAATGATAATAAATTATTATTAAACAAATAGTGCACTAAAACAATAATATCTCGGTTGACGTAACAGTTTTCTTAAAGTATTGTTATAACATACTCTCTGTGTGTTCATATGAAAGTCTACATAGACCAAAGTGTAGAACAATAAAAACTCATACAGAAAGAACAAAATAATAAACATTTGACTTGATCTCAGCACTTGCTAAGCTTTCTACAGAGTACATTTCTACGTATTCTCAGTGATCTAAAAACTTGTCCTTTGATATCAAGCTCAACATATTATGTGACCAAAATATGACAACGGATTTAACATATTTAAGGTTTTTGTTATTAAGATATGTTTTAGGCATACTTTATGACTCATACTTTAGGGATAAACCTCATACACACCGATTTCTTGTCATTATATAATATCATGCCCAGTGGCGTAAATTCCACATAATTGCACAAGATGCTGCAACCCTTCTATCGACGGGAGACAACAACGCCGGAACTTAAATAACTGAATTTAATTTCAGCAAATTCACCTCCATATGTAGAGTTTCTTTACTAAAAGTAATAGTAAGGTCATTAGTATTATTGCTGCGAAGCAGCCAATTCATATTCTTGACAGCAATTTGACCTCTGAAAAGTCATTGTTCGTCAAAAAACACGGGCCTAAAACGACTGAAAAGCGGAGTTTCCTTCTTTCATTCTGCTGGGTAAAATCAATTACTTTAGGCGACGTTTGTAGACTAACCAACACGTACCAACGTCCGTATGTCGCGCTAGCCTTATCCTACTCTAGGCCTAGACTAGCTAGGATGGTATAGGCCTAGCCTTGAAGGGACGAAGGTCCCAATGAAAAAAACGTCGCTCCTTGATAGCTAACAATAGCTAACATTGTCTATTTAACATCACAATAATTCATTATTAGACCTATAGCTGTTTTTTGAATTGTACTCCACAAATCTCAGCCGATACCTCGCACAATCGAGTAACGTCTCGTATCTATTGTCGTGATATCATGGCTCGCTGGCTCACACTTGCGATGTCTCGCACTTGTGATCAATTAACACGCTGGCTCGCACTTTAGCAACACTCTTTGACAGTCAACTCGCCCCTAGATAACACGCCCTTAGAAACTTGCCCCATAAAAAAATGTACACTTCCTAGACCATGCAGTCTTCAAAATAAAAATTGTAACCTTTGGTAATCAACTAAATTTTCCACATACATAGAAATTTTTGAAATTTTAACCTAAAAAAACCTAAACCATAATTCACCACTATAGACACTTTTTGACAAAAAAGAAAAATTACGAATTTTTTACCCAATGAGAAGTGTTCTAATATAAACAATGGGTCGTGTCTCATATTATTTTTTATATTTTTATTATTCATTATTTTCACTTGACTCGCATAAATAATTTTGTTCGAAGAAATATGCAGTTGTACTTCGCAGCACTTCACTTGCAATTTGCAATTTCTAGTATACTTTTAAAAGCGACAAAACTCCCTCGCTGTGCATTTCGCTTGTGTCCTTGAGCAAGACACTTTACCTGCATTGCTTCTCTCCACCCAGGAGTATAAGTGGGTACCTGGTGGGGTTGCTTGCTCCTGTGCTGATTACAGCAGCAACACTTAGCATGTGGACCCAATGACCAGGGACAGAAGCACTTCGTATCTGCAAAGAAAGGCGCTGTATAAATAACTAATAAAAACCATACCTCAAATATCCCTTATATATTCTTTGCAAATAAAATAAAGACATTCCTAATAATTTATTGAATATACAGTATGTCAGTTACAGTAGTATAAGCCTATGCTTTTTATATACAGTAATTTACCAACTGGGAGCATTTAAGAAATGTCTATCAATAGTAATAATAATAATAGTAATAATTGTTTTGTTTTGTAAATATTTAATGTAGAACCCACTATTGGCTTATTATCATAGTCTTTATATTTAATTCTGTTTGTGTTTTAAATTGTTTTGTAGTTTAGACGAGACTTTTTTTATTCCTTGTGTTTCGCGTACTTATTTTTAAAAAAAATTATCGGAGGAGGGCGGAATAAAAATAAAAATAAAATTTTGTTTTTTTATTTAGCAAATAACTTTGCCAAAATCATCCAGATGGAGGAGACTATATAAATAAAATTTTATGTGAATGTAAAATAGGATGGTTAAATGCTTCAAATTTATATAATTAAGAAGAAATATGCATATTTTATCTTTGGGCATTTCAAGGCAGCGGAGGGCGTAATAAAAATAAAGAAAAACTTTTATTTTCTTCTGAAATTTGCACTTTTCCGTGGCAGCGGGTGCGCTAATTGGAAAAAACTAAAATTTTATTTTTTTTCTAAATCATCAATATTTGCAGTCGGCGGGTTCGCTTAACTTAAATATGATATCTGAATTTGTACTATTTGAGCTTCCTGGCTTAAATTAAGCATAGAATTCATAAATTTACATTATAATTATCTCACAAAAACATCCAAATTGTGTTTCTTTATAAATTAAAAATTGTTTTCTATATAATCCAACATTGCAAATAAGCGTAACGTCAGTTACCAACCGGCCATCATGTAATGTTATATCTCACAAAAAATGTAATAAATTTGTAATCATTAACCGTGTTATTCTAGTATACTAATGCAGTATTCCATATCATACAACTCAAGTTTTGTTTGTCTCTCAGATATGTGCATGAGATATCGGAATTTGTTTTAATTTCTAGTTTTTGTGCATCTAATTTATGTAACGTCAGTTGCCGGACTCATTTTCTCCGCTAAATCTGTACCGCAAATGGTAAAAAGTTTAAATTGGTATTCCTGTATATTTCACTCCCTCAGTACTACCATGTAGCTAAGAAATATAATTTAGTCTCCTATTTTTTTATAGAGTAACAATGTGAATATAGGATGAAATGTAATGTCAGTTACCGTGGATTTGCCCGGTTTCAGAAAAATATAAACTTATCTCTTAAGTAATTGCATGTTTTTGTCAATCAAAGCTTTCAGCAATAAATTCTCTCACTTCGCAAAGTCGGAAAAAATTGGTTTGATGACAAGTTCAGAGAGGATAATGTGTACTACGTCATCAATTTTTTCGGGTCATAGAGAAAAAATAAATACGACCTCTGCTGCCAAAACAATAAAGGGCTGTGCAGACAGTCGAGTTGCTGCCAGAACCTGCCCTGCTTGGCTGAATGACTAATCTTGCTGCCACTACTGAATGGTGAGTGTGCTAAAAAAAAAAAATTTGTGAATGTTCTTATTATGAATTTCATGTCCATTGCAAATTGCTTTGTGGAATAAAATACTTTGTTTCTGAAATTATTTTAATTATCTGGAGACTAATAATGCCAAATATTTATATGGCGCCAATTCCAAATTGAATGACCACCCCTGGTCATTTAGTAACATAATATAATTCAATTAATTTTGGAACTGAATATTTCCTGTCCAAATTTGACAAAAAGGTAAACTAATTATATTCTTTTAATGCTTCAATTTGTCTAATTGGTAAATTTGTTTGTGGCTTGAAGAAATCGTAAATGTCTTGTTTAAATTATGACTACTTCAATTATTTTCCCTTTATATATATTTTTCTCTGTCCATCAGACTTTTTGTTTGATTTATGAAAATTGACTTTAAAACATTTTCTTTTCATTTATACTTTGTATAAATATGCGATTAATAAAAATTGACTTTAAATTATTTTCCCCATAAATGTGTGATTAATAAAAATTGACTTTAAAATATTTTCATTGGACTTATTACTTTGCATACGATTAATAAAAATTGACTTTAAAATATTTTCCCTTTTCATTATACTGTGCAAATGCTTGATTAATAAAAATTGACTTTAAAATATTTTCCCTTTTCATTGGACTTATTACTTTGCATGAATGTTTGATTTATAAAATATTTTTCCTTTTCATTGGACTTATTACTTTGCATGAATGTTTGATTAATAAACTTTAAAATATTTTCACTTTATATTGTTGTATTACTTTGCATTTCTTACTATTTGTTCAATGACTTATTCTTCTAGGTATGGCAACTGGCAATTTGGTAGTTGAAGCTCGCAATATATTAATTGTAATCAGTATAGTATTCAAGAATTGTAATATTGAATCAATAAATAATTGAATAATTTATTGTAACAATATTGAATAAATGAATATTGAATAATTTATTGTAATAATATTGAATAAATGAATATTAATTGTATTCAGTAGAATATTGAATGTGGTTTTTTTTTCTTCTTGAGTAATGAGCAGTAAGGCAAAAAAAAAAAAGCGCCCTCGAATAGAAAAAGGCCCTAAATATGACTAAGTTATTTGGCCACAATAATCTGTCCGGTTCTGATAAAAATAGTGAAGAAAATCGCCCTAAATAGCCATTTTAATCCAAAGTTTTTTAGGGTGTCTTAACTGTCAATGGCAGTAAGCGCCCTCTAACATCCAATTTTTTCATAATAGCATAAAAACTGGCTATTAGAGGGCACTACCACCTTATTAATTTAATTAATGACAAATAAGACACCACCGAAAAACGTTGAACTAAAATTGCTCTAGAGGGCGGTTTCCAGCACCACACAGGACCCCTTTAAATAATTTTAGAGACCCTGGAAATTTTGGCTTTCTATTGGAGGGCACCCTTCAGCACCACTTTTAATAGAAATTGAGGGACATGGGAAAAATTAGCCTTTTTCTATTGGAGGGCGCTTTTTCTTACCTGCATCCATCGGTCTTCACAACTGCAGCAGCAAAGAAACATCAAAACACTGCTTTACCAGTATATGTATTATCACAAAATCACATAATGTAAATTGTATGGAATATCAAAATGATCTGCTAGGCTCATATTAATGAATTATAGTAGAGTTCAACATGCCTAGGTCGAATCCAAAATGCCACTGAAAAATTGTTCGACTTGGATTAAATTTGACTTACAGATTGTTAATTAATGAAAAACAGTTTGGCATGTAAAATAAGTTCGACTTGGAAATTATTTGAGGTAGGCAAGGTCGAATTAGGCAAGTTTAACTATGGCTTTCTGGTTCTCTTGTTTGATTGTAATTAGCCAGTTCATATCTTCTGTAAAATATAATCAGTTTTCAGAATGAAGCAGTTGTTTTCTTGATGCTGCAACAACTTTTCATAACTTACCTGCATCCGTCAGTCTTCAAACTTTCAACAGCAAAGACAACACACTACTTATATTTTTTATTTCCATAACCAAAATCACATAATGTAAATAATTAGGCATCAACAATTCATTATATAGGCTTATATAATAGATATTAATTAAATTACATTAGGTTTCTGGTTCTCTAGTCATGTTGTAATTAGCCAGTTCATATCTTCTGTACAATATGATCGGTTTTTTCAGAATTAAGCAATTGTTGCCCTGATGCTGCAATAGCTTCATAAATAATACAACCGCTGTACGTTCTCTTTCACCAGGATTACGGCATCACAATATTCAGCTGAAGTTCAAGCTAAACTTCTGTATTGTATTAGGCATCACAAATTTAATTAACTAAAGTTAAATTGCCTAAATTAATTATTGTAGGTTTCTCTTCCTTGTCTTGTTCTGCAGCAGTACTTTTTCTGTCTTGCACCTCTGTTGCCACAATCTACCAAAAATATAATTTTAAAAAAAAATTAGACACAAACACAATTTTAAACAAAATTGAAGGTATTAATAAAGTTAATATAATTTCATAAGCTTCAGCATATTCAGGCCCGTAGCCAGGTTCGTCGAAGCCCAGGAGGGGTCCGCAAAATCCCCAAAGCCACAGGATTTCTGTGCTCTATGGGTCTAAATAATGCTATTATAAAGCAGATGCTTGAAAATGTAATGTCCCGAGTCCTGGTGGCCGGGTCTGCAGTGCATTAGTTTGGTTGGAGGGCTTGTTTGAAAATTTGAAAGGGGAGGGGGTTTGCTAGAAAAGTGGTTCTCCAGAACCATAAAAAAATCCCTGGCCTACAGGCCTAATATTTAATTTAATACTTAGGGCCTGTTTCTGCTGAGCAAAAAAAACTTGTGTTTTTAAACAGTTATTAAAAAACACATGTTTTTTTCCCCAGTAGAAATGGACCACAAAAAAAAAAAAAACGGTTAGATATGTGTTCTAAAAATGTGTTTTTACACGCATTCGTTATAGGGCTTGCGTTCAGAAAACGCTTGTTTCCTGGTACACTTTTCAGCTGCAACATAATACCGTGTATAGTCATGACCCATCGGTGACCCTAATTGACCTCTTCGTTGGTTTAATCGTTCGGTCCCCGGGAAATTCTGGGTGAACAAAAAAATTAAACCAATAGGATGACATGCTTGAAGATCATACCATAATTCTGTCATACTTTTGTGGTGTGTTTAATTCTTTCTCAGCATCCGCTGTAGCTCGCAAGTTGTAAGGTCAGCTTCAACTTCCGTTGGTGACCGACTGCCACCTACCAATGCTCGCATTACCGTGTTTTTGGCAATCATCAGCAGTAACACACCCTTACAGTATTATTAAATATTTTGATGTATATCAAAAGTTACTTGTTATCTTGGAGAGAGATTTGCCTGTCGTCTGCAAAAAAAAAAAAAAAATATGGATATTGTTTTTGTATGCTCAGTAATTTTCACAAATACTGTACTCATTTGGTTAAGTGCAAGGTCAGTGTTCTAGTGGATAAGACACCAGGCTAGTTATCTGGTGTGTAAATCCGATTTTCATGTACTAGTATGTACTGTAATGCCATTCAATGATGTATTATGTGTTACTTGGCATCATAATGAATGCTCAGTATGTTCCCTAATACATGCAAATAAACGTCATTTTGGTTGGAATTGAACAACTGAACTTGCGCATAGTGGCTAGTGCTAAATCCGATTTCCAAATAGCAGCAAGTGCTGCAATTGCTATATATTTTTTATTACAACACCAACACTAAATGTTGTACTAATTACTCAGTACATGCTCAATTGATAAAGAAAACTTGCAAGTGTCCAACGCTTTTCTATTGTTCCAAATTTTTCCAAACACCAATAAATATAATTCCCATAAACAGTATTGTACAGTATTACCGAAAGGTCCACCGATTAATCTCGTATAAGAAAGTGTAATACATACTCCAAGTATTGAAATACACGCCATCGTGTTGGGATTCAATATTTCAGAATTATGTTATCAGGAAAATGTTCACAAACCCTCAATACTTTTCATGTCTTGCAGCATTGGTCATGTTCTGTTGAGAGACAACAATAATTTTTTAATGAATTATTATTATAATTTTTTATGAAAAGCAATGAATTAATTACATTAGCTTGTTATGTAATTTACAAATCATGGTTAAAAAGAGAAGGGAAGGCAGAAGAGAAAATAAAAAATGATAATTTAAACAGGATGTTCATTGCTGAGCTAAAATTAAGGTGCAAACTATAGTCTAAATTAAAGAAAATGTAATGATGTGAATTCAAAAAAAAAAAAAAACAACCTAAAATTGTTAAATGACAGTAAATTATTTGTACAAAATCAAGATGGAAATGAAAAGGTGTAGAACTGAGATTAATTTATTATGTAATTGATATGCAAGCAAATGTTTATGATTTATTTTACACACTAAAAAGCAGAAAAAAATGTTAAACAGGATGTTCATTGTTGAACTAAAATTAAGGTCTAATCTAAAGGAAATGTAATGATGAGATTTGAAAAAAAAAAAACTAAAAAGTGTTAAATGAAAATAAATTATTTGTAAAAAATAAGATGAAAATGAATATATATAGGAAAACAGAGATTAATTTATTATATTCTTTTATTGATTTTATGTACATTTTTATGGTGCAATAATGAGAATAAAGGTGGCTTTGCCAGAAAGAGAAAAAAAAAAAAAATAATTTTTTAAATTTTAAGGAATGATATCAGTCCGCAGATTCTAAGGGCTTTTTATTCCTTGTTTCTCTTAAAAGGTGCTGTTTCCCAAAAACATCCAGATGGAGGGGAAAAACAAAAATAAATTTTTATTGGTGAATGTAAACAGTGTAGTAATGGGGTAATGGGATGGTTTAAATGCTTTAAATTTATATAATTGGGAAGAAAAAATGCATATTATTAATTTTGCAGATTTCAAGGCAGCAGTGGACGTAATAAAAATAAAGAAAAATTTTTTTTCAAAAATTTCATTTTTATTCAAATTGAATTGCATATTATTCTTCGGTGTAAACGCCACGAAAGTCTAGAAGACGACTTAATTCAAGTGGGTTCTTCTAGTGGTACTTGGGCAGTACCCCGGGAGACAATCCCCTACTCTTTTTAAGAGTGTACTGCGTGTTTGCTATTAAAACAAGGTAGAAAAAAAAAGAAACAAAATAAAAAAAACAAAATGTTAAAAGAAAATTTTAAGTGGTGATATTTAAAGATGTATTGTCTCATGAAAAATACCAGAATATTAAATCATTTTTGAAATAAAAATTATCAACTTAAACATAGAAATTAGTTCATCTAAAAATTCTTTACAGTGGAAATGATAGAAAGACTTTAACCACTGGAAGTGTTTTATTATTTATCTGTTATAAAAATCAGGGTACACATTGTCAAGTTAATAATTGTTATGTTACTGCAAAATGAGCAAGTTATATTTTATTATTTTTTTATCATTTTCAGGGGACAAAATAAAATCTAACACTTGTATAAGATGACCCCCTGTTTTCCGGTCGTAATTTGCTAGTTTAAGCCTATATTATACGCGAGTATATTCGGTAACTATTGGCAGCCGTGGGGGGGGGGGGGGGAAGGGGGTGCCAAACAAAGTGAAAGCAAGTACTAGGGGAGCTTACTTTCACCTCCGCTCCACTATGATTGGGGCTGAAGTTGAAAAACTTAACACATAAGACTTTAAAAAATGGTTTCCAATAGTCTTTATTTTAAATATTTGTTGCCAAAAAAGCCAGCGGCTAAATATTGTACGAGGTTATTCAATTTAACAATTGCTGACAGAGAATGTATTACAAGAACATTCTAACCCATGCGCTTGCATGCACTCATATCAATGGCGGATCCAGGGGGGTTCTGGCGAACCCCCTTCTGTGAAGAAAGGAGGGGGAAAACCTTGAATTTTGAAGCTTAAAGGTCATTAAAAGACTCCTCAGAAGTTGGGAAAGCTCATTTCCGGCCATCTAGATATCAAAACTTTCCCGGTGGAGGACCACTGGTCCCCCCTTTCATTTTGGATTTTTTTTCGTAAACATTTCGAACCCCCCTCTTTAAAATTCTAGATCCGCCCCTGCATATATTCAGACACAATATGGCGATGATAAGGCAAATATGAGAAGCTGAATATCACATAATAAGGTTTACAGTATTTAAAACAAACTTGGCACAACTAACAGTTGTTAAGGTGGTATAAATACATACTCCAAGTATTGAAAATACGCGCCATCGTGTCGGGAATCCGACACAAAGGCGTGCATTTTGATATGTGGAGTATGTATTTTACGATCTTATCTGAGATGAATCAGAGGACATTTCAGTTAACCAGGAAACAATTAGAATTTTGAGTTAACAGTTGTTATTCCGTGTACACAAAAATTAATGAAGGTATGATTATGATGGGGTCTCGAATATGGTTGCAGGACCATTGACCCTAAAAATTCACCCTATTTGACTGACCGGATATATTGATATTGATATGAAATTTATACCAGACACAGATACAAATCATCATTATACAAGATACAAATTTCCTTATTTTCCAAACAAATGGAAATAACAGATTGTCATCATATAGGGCATGTTGGTGGTTGATTTGAGCCTGAGTGATACAGGAGCTTACAGTAGCTCAGTCGGCTAATCTGCCTCTCCTTGTGTTTCTGAAGAGCTGAAATTCAAGTTACAACAGCACATTTGTCTTTCGGATGAGGCGACTAATGTTTTAATTTTAATCATACATTTTCAGGTCACTCATCATAAACTTTTGCTGATACATTTCCCACAAAAACTAAATGTAATTAGTGGGTTTGTCTTAATATATTCCGTGAGAAATTTAAATGGCATTATAATATTTTTCTTTATGTAGATATTTAACAGGAGATCAATTTTCAAGTGAGTCTACTTGTGAAGCCTACAGTATGTCAGTTGCCTAAGGATGGTCTGTAGGTGTGTTTGCAGTTAAGTTGATTCCTTTTGTTTTTCATTAAATACTTATAAGCAATAACAAACAAGATAAAAAATAATATAAATCGGAATTCTGTAGTTGAGTCCTTTCCGGTCTGTACCACTACCATAAACAAGGCTGCAGCCACTTTTATAAGTAATCACTTACCACCAGGGCAGCCTATGCTAATCAGAAAATAAAATCCCCCAAAATACCAACAACAATCATCCATCACATTGTTATAACAAATTGGCAACCATTTGTCCCACGTGCATGTATGGGCCCTGCACGTTAAAAAACGTAGTACACTCTTTGGAAAAGAGTATGGGATTGTTTCCTGGTGTACTGCCAATCACCAACAGAAAAACCTGACTGGAAGCAAGTCTTTTTAAGTTCTAGATCCTTGGTGTTTACACCGAATAAATCAAATCGAATCGATTGACCCATTTATTATATTAAATTAAATTCAGGGTGGGTATAATATATTTTTAGGATATGTTAGTGAGAACAAGAGACAAAGAAGTGCATTTAAAAAGGAGAATGAAAGGACAAAAAGACGATATCAATGTGTGAAAGAGAAATGAAGAAAGGATGACAAAAGACAATGATAAAATAAATAAAGAAAACCAAAGACACATTAGGAATATGCAGGCCTGTAAGCAGATTTTTATAGGATGAGTGCGAATTTGTGGAAAGTTTACCACAATGGGGGTCCAAAGCACATAGACTTCTAGGTTCGAGTGGGCAGAGCCCCGCGCTCAGCCATTCTTGATATTTTGAGGTCTTGATAGATTTTCAAGATTTTATTGTCTGAAAAACCCAGAAAGTATGTTCCACTGGCAGTGCTTCAAGTGTTAACAACATATACACTATAAAAGATAACGAGGATTATAACACTAACAGCACCAAACAAATATCTACAGTAATCATTTATACCCGTTTCACACTGCTGCTATTTTGCAAATATTAACAACTTGTAACAAGTTGTAACCAGGATTGGATGAGTATGATTAGGCCTATTAACCAATATTACACATTGAACTTGATTAAATTAGGCCAAAATTGCACTTTAAACAACAATTATCTATTAACATTATTATTATTTTTCTTTTTTAAGATGCAATATGAACAGTAGTAAACATTTTTTTCAGCGGCAGTCCAGGAAATTGGGGGGGGGGCAGGGAGGTAACTTCAGAGATGGAGGGTTGATATTACCTCACCCCTACCATGGTTGGGGCTGAGGTAGGAAAAATGTTAATAATGGCACCCCTAGATGGCCAGAAATGCA